ACTCCCAGCTTCACAAGAGAGTGTCTTGGAGAGACCCACAGGGTCCTAGAACAGACACAAACCCACCCACCCGGGAATCAACACTAGAAGAACCCAATTTTCTTGTGGGTAGCGGGGAAAGTGATTGAAAGCCAGGCGAGAGCCCAGAAAGCAGCATTGTTCTCTCTCGGACCCCTCCCCCACATACAGTGTCACAACGCAGCGACCCGGGTTGCCTCTTCCTGGTGAATACCTAAGGCTCTGCCCTTTCCAGCATAACAGGTACACCAAGACAAAGAAATATGGCCCAAGTGAAAGAACAGATCAAAGCTCCAAAATTAGCTTTGGAACAGATAGCCCAAGCAAAGAACAGATAGCCAGCCTGTCAGATGTACAGTTCAAAACACTGGTAATCAGGATGCTCACAGACATGGTTGAGTATGGTTGCAAAATGGACGAAAAAGTGAAGGCTATGCAAAGTGAAATAAGTAAAAAAATACACAGAACCAACAGTAAAGGGAAGGAAAACGGGACTCAAATCAATGATTTGGAGCAGAAGGAAGAGGTAAACATTCAACCAGAACAGAGTGAAAAAACAAGAACTCAAAAAAATAAGGAGAGGCTTAGGAACCCCTGGGACACCTTTAAGTGTTTCAACATCTGAATCATAGGGGTGCCAGGAGAAAAGGAAGAGCAAGAAATTGAAACTTATTTGAAAAAATAATGAAGGAAAACTTCCCCAGTCTGGTGAAGGAAATAGATTTCCAGGCGATCCAGGAAATTCAGAGAGCCCCAAAGAAGTTGAATGCAAGGAAGCACACACCAAGGCACATCATAATTACATTACCTAAGATTAAAGATAAGGAGAGAATCTTAAAAGCAGCAAGAGAAAAGGAGACAGTCACCTACAAAGGAGTTCCCAGAAGACTATCAGCTGATTTTTCAAAAGAAACCTTGTAGGCAAGAAGGGGCTGGCAAGAAGTATCCAAAGTCATGAAAGCCAAGGACCTACATCCAAGATCACTCTATCCAGCAAAGCAATCATTTAGAATGGAAGGGCAGATAAAGTGCTCCCCAGGTAGGCCAAGTTCACCATCACCAAGCCCTTATTATATTAAATGTTAAAGAGACTTATCTAAGAAAAAGAAGATCAAAACTATGAACAGTAAAATGACAACAAACTCACAACTATCAACAACTGAACCTAAAACAAAAACAAAAACAAAAACAAACTAAGCAAACAACTAGAACAGGAAGAGAATCACAGAGAGGGAGATCAGAGGGGAGGGGGAAAATGTACACAGAATAAGGAACATAAATAGAAGGTACAAAATAGACAGAGGGAGGTTAAGAATAGTATAGGAAATGGAGAAGCCAAAGAACTTATATGTACAACCCATGGACATGAACTGGGGGTGGGGGGATATTGGTGGGAGGGGAATAAAGGGGAGAAAAAGAATGGGACAACTGTAATAACATAATCAATAAAATGTATATTTTAGAAAACCCAAGAGGCTCGAGGCTTTCAGAGAGCTGGCAATGGCTTCTTGGGGGAGCCAGTGGAATACAGTGGAATTTGGTTATGCGTTTTTTTGGCAGGGGAGGAGGGGAGCACAGGGTGCAAGTAATCCAGGACAGGATTTGGACTGAGAATAATGGAGTGAGAAATAAGGAGTGTGGGGCATCAAGGAAGCAGCAGGAAATAAACTGGAATGACACAGAGGTAGGGGAAGCATCTTGAGGGGCCTTGGATACATGCGGTAAGTGTAATGACCGTATCATTTTTTAAGAAAAAAATGAAGCTCCCCATGTAGTGAGTAATCAGTCACTCACTTACTACCCTGCCTGCCAAAAGGCAGTCACAAGCCAACACATATGGCTAGTGCACATATTTATTCCTTCACTAACTGAGTCATTCAAGGCATATTGATTGCATGAGCACCTACTGTGTGTTAATCATGACTTCTACCCTCAGGTGGCTTATGGGCTTGCAAGGGAGAGACAGACCACTATACCCAAGATGACATGATACATGAGCAACTTGGAGGTGGATGGTTTAGACACCAGGGTGGTGTTCCACAGGAAATGGCATTTAAAGCCGAGACCTGAGGGATACACTGGGAGTAAAGAGGCCAAACGGGAGAAGAAGCAAGAAAGCAAAAATTCAGAGATGAAAGAACAGGACAGCAGCGTTGAATAGTTTTCCACGGCTTTAGACTGGGAGAGGGGAAAGTGTTGAGAGTGGATGCTGGAAAGGTACGTACCCTCAAGGCTCACGGAGCCTCGTGAACCAAGAATAAACTCTATTCTAAGGGGAATGAGAAACCACAGAGGATGTTCAGCAGGGAAGCAACACAACGGAGTTTGCCGTTTGGAAAGATCGCAGTGGCTGTTGTTTGGAGTGTGGATTGGAGGAGTGAGAGTGAAAGAAAGAAAGAGGAGGACCAGTTAAGAACCTCAAACATGGGAACAAGGCTATGACTGCTGACGGGGAGCCTTCCTGCTCAGGTGAAACAACAAGGGAAAGAGCCACACCACCAAGTCCAAAGACCCTCTCAACTTCCGTTCTCCTCCCAAAGGAACTGCAAATTCTTGACTGAAACTCACAGAGTAGGGACAGCATGTTCCCTAACCTGACTTCACCTTGCAGAGTAGGAATGCTGCTGATGGCCATGAGGAATCACCAGTGCTGTCTAGCACTACAAAACGGGACAATGAGTGGCACAGACTGTGGCCCCTCAGGGAAGAGAAACTAATGAGGTGACCCTGTGATCACTCAGACTTTCTGCCCAGAGACACTTTTTAGATCCTGGCACAGGAGGGAACCCTAAGCAGAGCATTGTTACCTTGTTGAGGGAGGAGCAGAGGTTCAAATTGAGGAAACAGAGGCTGACAGACCTTTCAGAACGAAAGTACTGAAAAGAAGGAAGCTGTGCAGAAAAAGAGCCCCAGGAATGTGTACAGAGGTCCTCTGGAGCCTTCGAATGAATGCTATGTGCACATGCAGAGGTAAGACACTAGGAGCTGGCAAAGAACTACCGGGGCGCTCGCTGTAGACAAAACAATTCCCAAAGTTAACGCAGAGGTGAGAGGTTTTGACTGTCCAACCAACCAGAGTGAGGAGGCCTCACTGAACAGACCCGGAAGTGTGAGACTTTCATAGCAGGGCCAAACCAGCCACCACAGAGTCAAGGCTGCCAAACCTGTCCTTACAAAGACACAGACCTGAACCATCTAACGTGGAAGCCACTAGCCACTTGCAGCTATTGAACCTTTGAAATGTGGCCAGTCCGAACTGAAATGTGCTTTTCATTATAAATAAAATACAGACCAGATATAGCAGACTTTAGTATGAAAAAAAGAATGTAAACTATCTCATTAATAGTTTTATATTGATTACCTGTTAAAATGATAATACTTTGGGAGTAGCGGGTTAATAAAATATATTATTAAAATTAAATTTTTAAAAAGAGAGATAGGCCAGTGGCCACCAGGTAGCCACAATGGAAAATATGCAGAAAAGAATATTTCAAAAATCCTATTTAGCTTTCTTATGAATATATTTCTTTTGAAATATTTACTTTCTTATCCACATCTCCAGTGCCTGACATCTAATCCTGCTATAATAAATCCTCACATAATAAATAATAATGTGTTGTTTAGGAGCAGTTTTCTTGGCAGTAATGGCCTATAAAGGGAATTATTTAACTACTAAGAGGAGTTTCAAAGGGAAGTGCCTCCTAGGGACCAAAGAAAGCATTGAAGACTCATAAATAGGTTACATTTAGCTGTAATTAAAGAAAATGTAAACAAACAAACCAACAAACAAAAAGGCAAGGCCTTGACAACTACAAAAAAGAATAACCAGCAATACCAAAAACATAATTTTAATTAAATATTTTTACCTCTATTCTATATTTCCAAACATAAGGGGGAAAAAAATCTTCCATCAGTGGAAACTCTTTAGGTAGTTCTAAGCATCTGTTTCAGTTTATAACATCCTTCAATTTGTATTCCTATAAATATAAATACATTTTAAAAAGTAAACAAACATTTTGTGAGGTGTTGAATAGTAAGGGGAAAGGGGCTCATTTGTCTAAGAAACTGCAGGAGATAACAAGAACAAGCCCTAAAGCCTGATGGTGATTTCACTTTTGCTAAGCATAAGCTGCATTGGTAGCCAGAGAAATACAGGGAGTTACTGACCATTTTGTGGGAGACTGGGCCAAATAAGTGCCTAGCTTACCGGCTTTGGTGGTAGAACATGGGTTTGCGATATGCCACAAAACTACTTCTGTAAGAGCAGTGAGTCTCTCCAAACCAGGCTAGAAATTTCTAAGAGCAGCAATAGATTTCAGTGGCTCGATGTGTTTCATAGATAATGCTTCCTGGTTTGAGAGATAGAGGCTATCAAGATGCACATCAAAGGAAAAAATGGGGAGGTGGTAACGCTCTAGGAATATGTCCCTGATCGAAATGTTTTGGCGGCTGAGGAAGAAGTTGGTTATTCTGGTCCAGTAAAATGACATACAAATATAAAATTTCAAGCATGATAATTTAGTCTGCATTTTCCATGTGAATTCAAAATTAAAATAGTTCACAATGAAATGTCAATAATCTATGCAAAAATCTTTGAAGTAGAACCTTCTTTAAATTCTGCATTCAGAGGTATACACAAGCTTTCCCTGAATATGTTCAGAGTTGTAAACAAAGTTTACAAAGACAGTAAAATCCCCAGAATCATTCTAGACTTGGGGAGGTCATTTAGAGGCAAAGTTGTCTCTCCAGTAATTGTGACATTGCATGAAGAGGTCATAGCTTCTGTTGATTCATGGGCGGGATCAGCCTGTAGACAGATCTTTGTTTTCATACACAGTAATTATATTCATATCTACAGAACATACATTAGATACTAGACCATGATCCCAATGTTTTGTCTTTGCAAACACTCCTGTTTTCATATTTAACATGCTACTGCATTTATTTTTAATCATGTCTGTCTAGATTTTAAACATCCCTGAAGACAGAAACATGAGGTCCTCTAGACCCATAAATATATTATCCCTATACATCTAATAAATGAAGAAAAAAGTACTCAGTAAAAAAATCAAGCAATATTTGAAGACTGTACCTATTAAAAACATATTCAAACACTAATTTTTCTTTCTGTCGATTGTAATATTCAGAACAGAGTTAGTTGTTTTTCATTTTAGACCAAGCTTTGGCTTTCATTTTCCTTGTTGGAGTTAGCATTTTCATGTTTATTAGTAAAGTCCTTTAGGACTATATCTTGAATTTTCTGTTCAAGAGCACAAAGGTTAGCTTTTTTGAGACTTTCAATGAAAGTGGAATATGCATCTTTTTTCCCATGAAGTTGATACCAATAACGGAGCAGCTGGACCTTCTGTTCAGCTGTGTCTTGGGGATTGTCATTTTTTATTTCATCTATCTTGGCTTCATTCATACCATTCTTCCGAACAAAGTCTTTAACTTCATTTATTTTCATTTGTTCAGCAATAATGGTAATATAGTCACCCAAGTCAATGTCTGAAAAAAAGAGAATAGTCTCTGAAAATTTGTTCTTTTAAGTGAAATTGCTACGGCTGAAAACCATGTTTATTTCCCTCTTATAGTATTTAGTAATACAGATTAGTCCTAGAGATCTAAAGAACTGATAGGAAAATACAAAAACAGAAACAACCTGGCCTTCTAATCTCAGCTCCTCTTATATTCCCAGTAATTTGCTCTATGACCTGAGCAAGAGACATAACATCTCGGTATCTTTTCATCCATAAAAAGGTTGGAAAAGATCACTTCTAACATGCCCTGTGGATCTGATGTTCAATGACCTACAAACCCAACACAGACAAAGAGTTCACGATCATCTTATCTCTCAATCACAACTCAAAAAAAAGAGAACTGAGTAGAATCATAAATGTTGTTACAGAGCTGCAATACATCAAAAATAACTGAGTCTATATAATTCAGATTGACCTCTAAGTCAGTTTAGGCAGGAGGTCTATAATATACCTAGCTGTTTGTTAAGGAAAATTTTCCTAAACCTCAGAATTTAGTGTCTTATTGCTACCTGATGTATTTTCAACTAGGAATATGAGCTCTAAATTTAAACAAACTGCCTGAAAAAAATCCTTGATGATGAGTAGGAAGAACTGTAAGCTCAAAGAATAGCAAGAACCAATAATATGTCACTGAAATTAGCAACATTATACTCTAAAGTTGACCTGTTACTTCCTTGGAGGCCACCTCTATGAAATAAAATGATAAAAGTCTTACCTGCTAAATTCACTGGGGGCATTTCCTAGGGAGAAAAAATATGGAGGGGGAGAGAAAAAAATATATATACTTAGAGCAGTCTAAATGTAATCTTTTAATTCTTCCTTATTATTGAAGGAAGTACAATCAGTTGCTCAATATATAAAATTAGCTAGACTAAGTGATTAGGAAGGATTCTTTCACCACTCAAATTTTTATTCTGAAAGGTCTCAGCATTGCCAGAAACTAAGGAACATTGGTTTATTTTTACACAGCTAAAGAACCTAGGGAATTCACGGAATGTGTCGAGACTATGTCTCATATAGACTCGCAAAAACAAACACAAACATAATCATTCTAAAACACTTTGCTGTAACTATTCTTATTTTTGACATCAGAAAATGGTTTAAGTTAAAATTATTTTGTTCTACATGGATTTAAAGAACGCTAAATCCCACTGAGCCCTAGCCCCAAATAAGAAACCCATTATTCATGAAGTGAACTGGTTTTTCTTCCCAATGTAACTTCTGCTTTTTGAAATGCTTTGATCCCATGTTGGAAAAAAATATGGCAAGAACTATGGTAACAAGTGGCTGGGGAAAAGTTGAGCTATACCTTTATAATAGGACTTAAGAGCTCTCTGTGTGCCTGGGCTTGGATACTGAATTCATGCTCTGGGAAAGCACGTCTCTGCAATTTCTCTGCAGGTATAACACCAACATGGAACATGTTGCTGGGCCACATCCTTTAACCAACTCATCTTGAGCACCCTCCCACTTAAGTCCTTTGTTAACTCTTCGGGGGTGTAGAACTTTCTTATAAACTGGGCATCATATCTTAACTATTTTTTGATGTCCTCTAACCCAGGTGCACACAAGCATAATTAATGTTTGCTTTAAAAAAGTAACAAATACAAAGTTGAATTACTACTTTCTCTATGTTTTCCAGAAATCTGATGCTCATTTCAACACTTACAATATTTGGAGTTACAGATCCATGGTGACCATTATAATTCCGGCGACGTTTATATACAACTAAAAGATCAAAGCAATTTCTGTTAGGCCCAGGTCTCAGCCTTGTAGGAAGCACTACTCTTACACTAGAGAAGTGTGATAAAGAAGAAGTTGATTGAAACTTAAAGTGACCAAACACCCCAAAGAGACAGCATTGTCCTGATTTTGGACAATCCCACCCCACAAGGCCAAGTGTTCTAGAGATGTGTCATATCTTAATTGAGATATCCAATTACCTGCCTATGGCCTAGTCTGAAGCTGGCTTTTGACTTATTGTATCATATCACCATTATCTTTCACCAACTTGTTGCTGGATACCATGGCTACAGCAGTGCATATAAGCATAGGATATGGAAGTTGACATCAACTTGCCATGGAGTGTCATTGAATGTCCATAATTCAAGTATATGCACTCACAAATAACTCAAGTGTACACACTCAATGAATATCTGTCTTGAAGTCAGTATGAAATGGAAGGAGGGAATCTGTAAGTCTGAGAGCATGGTTATAGTACTTAGACAATAGAGTATGTATTTTTAGCTGATAAACCTCTAAAGGCAAGGCAACCTGTTTATCTTCAGCTGAACTGAAGAAGCAGAGAAGGAAAAATGAAAGCCTTTAGAGTGATTGAAAGCTGTACCACCCTGTATTTTACAAATGATTTATAGGGATTTTTCTGGAGTAATTGTGATGACATCCAATTTTGGCTTATCTGCTGATTTTACTGGATATTTTACTTGCAGAAAATGTATTGCACAATATTTTAAATTATGGTGGAGAAAAAATTAAAAATCATGGAGTTCAAACAAGGGTGAAGAGGCACAGAAAGGGATGACTATATCACATGCCCCCTGCAGTGCCTTTCCCGGGAAGGCCCGTACGTCCTGTGTTCTCTTAATACGATCTCAATGAACAGTGAAGGATTACTTGTGATCCTTGGAAAACTTGGCTGCTGCCTGGATGAAAACATGGGGAGAATGGGAATACTCACTCAGTGCCCCAAAATGGCTCCTCAAAAACAGTAGCTGAGGCCTAATATAATCTATTCACATCAGCTCTCATGAGTGCATTTAGTGGCAGGGATTAAAAATATAACAGAGCTAACTACCCACCTGGGAGAAGCTTTCTTATATGTAGGAGACAGAGGAATTCTTTGAACAAGTATTGTCCAAGTTATTTCCATGTGCAATTTGAACAAAGTGAGAACTTACACCAATAAATTATTGCTGGAACTACTACAATCACCAGGAGGAGCAACCACCACAGTGCGTGAGACCTGGATCCTGTAGATTGGAACATTGGACATTTTACATGAAAATAAGCAGTCTTTAGGATTAAACAAGTTATTCTCAAGGAATCAAAAGGGATTGGGTTCTCTTTGTATTTTACTATGGGAATAGGAGAAAGGAGAATATACTCATAAGTTTAACCTTCTTTACATCTGGTGTTGTTGGTTGGTGTGCATTTCTCTTCAACTCCATATTCACACCTAGAAAAAATATAGAAGAAATTCAAAAAGCCTGGTGGACTGATCTCTTCATCATTTTCAATGACGCATTATAAATAAGGAGCCATTATATTCATTTTTGCATCTCTGTCAAATATATCCCCCTCAAATATTTCCAGAGTAGCATCTAAAGCTGGTAAAAATTTATAACATAATTTGGATGTTTGGATGAAGAAAGAATGACTATGTTTTAAAATGCCCAGAGTTAAAAGAAGGTAATAAAGAATTGACATATAAGAAAAAGGCTGAAATAGATCCTAACATAAGCTTAAAACTGGCAATAAACTGTGCTCTTAAAATACCAGGAGACAATCATAAATTACAAAAGCAATTTCAAAGAAAATTCATAGAATAAAAATGGCCAGACAGTAGTCAATGCCGGTGATGCTACTGAGGGAACCTACTCAGCTGGCCCACAAAGGTTTCCCCCTTTATCACCGAGTGGTGAGTAGGATGCTCCAGAGGTTCCTGTGCATTTTCTTCAGTCAAACACAGACAGTCAGATTATCTGAATTAAAGCTTGGCTCCGCCCATTGTCTAACTAGATGAGCCTGAGCAAATCACTTAACCACCGTGAGCCTGTTTTCTCACCCACAGCGTGGAGATAATATTATCTGCAGGAAGGGGTTATGGTGAGAAGAAAATTAAATCATGATTATGAAATGTTTCAAACTAATATTATTGTTATTATTTGACTTACCTTAGTCCCTCCTCCACCCCCAATCCCTACTTATTATTCTGTCACCACGAAGGCTGTCTCAGACACTTGGGACCAGAAAGGAGAGGCAGGTTAAGTACATATACTTTACATTTTTTCCAGTAAATAAGAGACATCAGGCATGATGTCCCTACTTTTCAAGTTTACCAAGTGAACTCCTAAATGTTTCCTAAGATCCATTACAAGTTTAAAGAGAGGCACATTGATATAATCTTAATTATATTTATAGGTATGCAAAACAATGTCTTAAGAAAGAAAAAGCTACTTTTATAATATATTACCCAATCTGATCTTCACAGAAATGAGACCAATAAAACCAGTGACAATTACTTGTGCCCTAACAAGTCAGGAAACTGAAGCTCAGAGAGGTTTAGGGCTCTGTTCAAACTCAGTCATTCAGTCAGAAGAAAAGGCAGGTGCACGAATCAGGTTTTCCAACTTTGGGTCAACACCAAGCTCTTTAGCATGAAAGACAAGGCCCTGCATGACCTGGCCCTGACTCCTTTGCTATTTTTCCCATGCTCCAGACAGGTACTCTGTACTCCGGAGCTTCTTCTCTCTCTGCAGCTGCTGTTTCCCTGCCTGAGGTGTCCTTCGGATCCATGTACACCTTCCTTCACGACCCAAGCCATGTGTGATATTGTCACTGCATCTCCCTGGGGAAGGGTTGAAAGGTTCTATGTAACTCCTAACACCCTAGGCACCAGTCTCTCCTGATGCTCACCACATGGCCTTGACTCATTAACCATGCCTTTTTTGGTTCTCTCTGCCTCTAGCCCAAGAGCCTGAATGCCAGCAATGTGCCTTGCTCATATTGATAGCTTAAGCAGCCAGTTGTCAGGCACACAGGAGCAGTTCAAAACCTGTTTGGTGAATGGATGTCTTAATGAACAGATGGTTATCTCATTGTTTGGAGGAAAAGCCAGCCTAGAACCCAAATTGTTGACTCTTAGCCCACGTTGCTTCCCGCTAGGAAGACATTGTCTCTTGAAGTATATCTAGTGTTTTAATTATAAAAAAATTAAAACTTACGTGCTGCAAGGATCACAGTGTTCACATGAAGGAGTGTTACAAAAAAAATTTGATTTACACCTGCACTTGGTATTCTGGGTCTTGGTACAGTTTTTTTCCACTTCTAAGCCTAGAAAACCAATTTGCAGACTATTAGTCACAGCAGCTAGTTATAAATGGACCATGAAAACAATGGGCAGGAGCTGCATTGATTTTTGAGATCCACCACTTACATGAGCAGTCACACCATCGTGCCTTTACCAATACAACTAGTGTTTAAATGCAAACAGGCAACCCCAGGTTGAAATGGTTGAAATCATTTAGCAGAGTTTTAAGTGGATAGACAATGCAGCAACCAAGACAACTCTACCTTTGCTTAAAAAGCTCCCCTGCTCTTCTAGTCTAAAACATGGATCCTCAGAGTGTGGCTGGTGGATCAACAGCATCAGCACCCCCTGGTAGCTTCCTAGAAATGCTGACTGTCTGGCCCCACCCAGGACCTAGTCAAGCAGACCAATGCCAAAGCTCTCACTTAGAGATTCTGATTGAATTGGTCTATCTAAGGTGGCACCTAAACATTGGCATTTTTCATAGCTCCCTATGTGATTCTAATGTACAGCCAAGGTTGAGAAACATTGCTTTAGATCTTGAATAGAGACAAGAAAATCTTATGTCCAGAGATTCCTTAATGTCAAACAAAACTGTGAGTACTTCTGTTGTATTTTAATGTGTGACTATCAGAACAGATCAGGATATTCATGAAAATTCAGGGCCTCAATTGGAATGATCAGGACAAACCAGATCCCCCAAACAGGTAAAGCATCTCACCCACCTCTCAGGATCCTCTGTCCTTCGATTCGAAGGTTTCTGAGCTCTGTCTAGCCATAAACAAGAGCCATAACATAAGCATAAATGAAGGCAGAAAGGAAAAGCTTCTGCAGTTTTGATAGGAGCGAATGAACTTTGTTCTCAGGGCTCACATTTAGTCAATCTGCTACATCTGGGAGAATGGCCTTGTCTTGGCTCATAAGTGTCTAGACTAGTGGTCATCTCAGTCCCTGGTCTTGCTTCACCCCAGTCAGCCCCATCCTGTCCCTCCCTATATGCCAACATAACACCAGAGTAGGTCCCAACTTCCAATTGTGTTATAAATGATTGTTCATGGAGTACTACAATTGGTCTCTTTCAACTGCTTTTTAAGACACTTACCTTGTTCTCCATCACAAATTCTGCATCTTCTGCATTTGTTAGAATAATGTTTCCTGTCTGTGTACTCCTTCCCTTCTAGGCAGGGCTCACAGACTAGTTTTTCCCCATCAGCTATGCAGTCATTATATTTCCATTCACCTGCCAAGAATAAAATGGAGCAAGTAAGTGTTCGAACACAACAGCGTGAGAAGTGTGTAAGGATAGCAATAAAACACTGCTCAAACAGGGGGATTCGGCTAATCTATAAAGACAATGAAGGAGATGGTTCTTGTAAAAATCATACCAGAGACAGAAAGTCTCCCAAGACAAAAGCTGAAAGAGTGATTAAAAGAATATGCTTATGGAAATAGGATGATTAACAATAGGAACATGGAACAGGAAAAGAAAAGAGGGTACAATGACCAAATGCACTGGACAAAAAAATGCCTTTACTAACTTTTCAGTCGGGGAGAGGAGCGGCTGGTGAGAATATATTCATGGTGGAGATGGCTGACACTGGTCACGACCTCAAGAATTGACCTTGCTCTGGCTTCTCATTTTACTTTCCAAAGTCCACAGATCATGGTGAGAGATAGTACAATGCAGGGAAAAGGACACTTGAAGTTCTAATCTTTAGTAGCCCTGTGATCTCCAACAAAGTGCTTAATCTCTCTGAGCTTACATTTCTTCATGCACAAGACGGAGATAATGATCCTTCTCTTGAATCACTACCAGAACCGCACGGGACCTGCCTAACAAAGGCTCGTAGTCCTTTTTTCCTCCCCTTTCTTTCTATTCCTTTGCCAGTAAGGGTCAGAGTATGTTGTGATGGGCAGGTATGAACATGTAACAAACTTTACCATCAAATTTGTTATCACAATGCACACAATTTCAAATAATATTCACATTTGCTTTCATTTACCTTGAAAATAAAACAAGTCATTATTAGATTGTTCTTAGCATTACACAACAATGCTTCTTCCTGGAAATTTTATTTATTTAACAAATAAATAAAGGTCTATTGTGTTCCAGGCACTTCCTAGAAGCTGGAGGTACTACAGACAAAAAACAAAGCCTTGGTCTTCCGGGACTTCACATTCTTGTGTTAGAAGCAGGCACGTACAAATAAATTTATGACATCAAGTGGTGATGAGTGCTATGGAGAAAACTAGATTAGGGCACAAAAGTAGAGAATGAGGAAGAAAGAGACAGAAAATAAAAAGGGTAATCAAAGAGAAAAGCATGACTAGTGACTCTAATTACTAATAGCATAACTAATGAAGAACAATAAACAAAGTCTAATCTTCTCTTCTCACATGTACAGCAAGAATAATTCATGCTGTATTTCCTAGGTACACCACTTCCTCAGCAACCTCATAGCATTGTTTTTGATAAAACAAAAAAACATTAATACTTACAACATAATCAAATTAATTTAGACATATATGATATTTTAGTAACCAAAGATAATAGTCCATCAATAGAAAAAAATAAGCAAACCATGGAAACCTGGAATCTGATTCAAATACAGTGTATCGGGGTTTTATAACATTATGGCAATACTTAAGAGCCAAAAGCACAATTTTATTTGCTTGCCAGTGGTATTATCCTGGTTTCTAAATGAATTGTCCTCTTTGATGAACTACTGTTCTTTCTTCCTTCCTTTCTCTCTCTCTCTCCTCTTTCTCCTTCCCTCACTCTCTCCCTCCCTTCCTTTCTTTACTGATGGAAAGAAAATTTAAAGACACCAATAATCTACATGAAAAGCTTTCAAAATTTTTATGATTTTTCCATTGATTTTTGTCCTCACCTAATTCATCAACTCAGTTTATCAACTTAACTTTACTGAAGTTCTCCAAAGCATTCAAACTAATTTTCACAGAAGTAAAATCTGTCTTTTCTTTGTATTCATATGGCATTGGTCATATAATATTTCATTAGATGATATATTTATATCACAACACCTATGAGTATAAACAGATTTGGAAGCAACTTGAATACTGATAAAGCCTAAAATGCAACAAGAGGGAGTGGAAGCGGAAAGTGTTCTGCATGTGCTGGAGGCCTCCCAGGGTGTTTCGCAGACAGAGCCGAGTGAATTAGTTAGTCCAGCCAGAAGATCAGTTAGAAGCCCCTTAAGAGAATTTGGGCACATTGAGAATTATATTAGAAATATATCAGAAAACAAGACTTGGATCAAACATAATATTCCAGCCTTTGAATACTCTAAAATGTACTTAGTTCCACGTCATTGGGTACCATAAGGAAATGTCTCAGGAAATGTCATAAGGAAATGTCAGGTACAGTGTTTTCTTTTATTTTGAACTACTTTCTTAAGACATTTTCTTGTTAATCAAGTACTGTATCAGGAGGTGAAAACTTTTTCAAGTTTTTGATCCACATATCCAAATTTCTTTCTTAAAAAGAACTGGTGGTCTTTGAGAGTTCTTATCTCACAAGCAAACTCACCAGGGCTGAGATAATTCCCTAAATGAATGCAAAACAAAGCAAAACAAAAAAAGCAAACAGACAAAAATCCTTAACAGTCTGAAATGTAAAGCATATTATCTTTGTTTTAGTTTGCATTTAAGTTTCATGAAATATTAGAGATTTGAATTCACAGGACAAATTGATTGTTTTTAGAAAGTTATAAAAAGTCAGGTCTTTCTTTTCTTTCTCTCTCTCTCTCTCTCTCTCTTTCTCTCTTCCTCTCTTTCTTTCTTTCTCCCTTTATCTATTTACTTTTTCTTGTATTTCTTTCATTACCATCTAGTCCCCTTACACCCCCTCCCCCCAGCAATCGCCACTGTCGTCCACGTCCATGAGTCCTTTTTCCTTTTTGCTCCACCCACCCCACACTCTAATCTCCCCTCCCCGAAGCTGTCACCCTGCTCTCCATCTATGAGTTTGTCCCCATTTTCCCTGTTAGTTCAGTTTGTTAGGTTCCACATTCTTTATTCCTATTGGGAGAAGAGTAAATGGGCTGAAGCATAAAAGGATTGGATTGTAAGGGAGAGCTCCCATAGTGTTATTAAAACCTGGACAGGAGGCCACAGAAGCCTGGTAGAATCTTCTTATAAACGGGACCCATGCCTACATAGCAGCCTGAGTGCTGAAATCCTGGGGGCCCCACCGTGCACCCTGCTACAATCCTTTACAGTTCCAGTAGCCTGGCACACATGGCCGTGTGTTGTTCTCCTTTACCTTCCTGTCTCACTTCACAAAGCAGGAAGAAGAGATTCATATTTGTATGAAACAGTAGTCAATTTACTCCATGTTGAAAAAAAGCTTCTGCAGTTGCATTTCGTTTAGCTTCCATTTTCTGATGTTTAAAAGATTTCGGATCTGAAACTGGTTTGCATTTCAAAATAATGTAAAAAAAAACATTGGTTTTTGTCTGTTGCTTTCCTAGCTCAGCTAGTTATTAAGCTGCAAAATGCAAATGTATTTTGCAGGCTTCAGTGTCTTCTAATTGAGAAGTACTGAGATACTTGCTTTCAGAGTTCCACAATTATTATGATACGTTTTAATCAGTTCTGATGTGATAAGCCTTAATATCCATAAATGAGTCTCTTTTGTTAATGAAAAATGAAACTAAATAGATAAATCCTCTCAATCCAAACATACATATCCTTTGTAAGGTATATTTATTTACACCCATGTCAAACAAGTGTGATAAAGATAAATTAAACTGGCCTTGGGAAAATAATTTCATAGTTGTTTTTTATTTTCTCAGTAATGCTATCATACAGGAGGGCTAAGCACTGTACAAATATTTTCCATTATTACTATATGCTATTTTCCACCTGATTTTCCCTCTGTTTGCTGGATGTATGTGAAACATACCAGGAAAACATGGCAGACAGCAGAATTTGCCCTCACGCTGTTGGCCTTCAGGGCACCCAACCTCCCTTTTAGTAATATTCTGTCTTGATTTCAACAGCTCAGAGATGTCATGAGTCGCTTGGGCATTATCCCCTTTAGGCAGTAGTCCAGCAAGAAAGGTAAGTATCTGCAAAGGAAAAACGTGAAGAGAACTTTATTGACTTTAGAACTAAGCAGCTTGGTAAGCAAGGATAAGTTGCCCAAGAGGGCTACATTTGCCGTGGTACACAGGCAAAATCAGTGTGGAGGTCCATCCTCCTATCCACTCACCTCCAAAACGGGAGCAGATCCATTGAATGACAGTCCAGATCTCAGGTTCTCCAAGCTACCCCAGAACTAGCACCAGGAGTGGTAGGAGCCAGGGCTCTGAGCTCAAAAGTAAACACTGGCTCCCACTTACTAGCCTGGTGACTCTGGGTAAAGTCACTGAAATTCTTTGTGCTTTTGTTAATCTATCCAATAGAAATAATCCCTTCTTCATGGGTTTGTTAATTGAATGGAATAATGAACTTAATGTTCTTAGCACAATTTCTGGCTCATAATGTTATAGGTGCCCAGTAAGCACTATTATTATTAATTATTATCATTATTATCATAAAATTCCACTGAGGAGCAGCGTAGTAGAGTAGGAAAAACTATGGAATTTCAAAATGAATGCTGTTTGAATCCCAGCTCTGCCACCAACACTGTTGGTTTAGGCAAGTTATGTAACTTCACTGATCCTTAATTTCCTCAACTATACTTCCTGTCTTGAAGAGTTAAGGGTTATTGTGAAGGTAAAAAGTGATCATTTCTTCCAAACCTGGTACTTAGCTTATAGAATGTTCTATTTCTTCCTTTTTTTATACATAGCCATAGAATCAACAGTTTTAAATTCATTTGTTCTGGTTATCAAATCATGCAATAAATCCAACACAATTTTCTTCACTTGTATTTGGAAAAAAAAATGAACTTCACTTAATAGAAAACCAATTTTAATCTGTTTTTTATTCCTTTCTTCTGAAGCTAAAAGCACATAGTCTAAGTGACATTTGTGTCAAATTTATCTCAGTTACAAGCTAGAGTTCCCCAGAAAAATAAGCCCCTAGAATGTTTGGAAGCACTTGGGAGTAATTTCCAGTTGTTTCCTTTCTCAAGTTTCCTAGTATTTATTTTTTGTCTTTCTAAACATAAATTCAAACAATCTCTCATGGAATATGAAAATTATATTGCCAAGCACCACCCCCCCCAAATTCTATTAGTTCTGGGCATTTTTTCTCAAGGTTATTTTTTATGCCTTCATGGCTTGTATATGTTTTTGTACTTTATGATATAGTAATGATACTGACATCTTCTGAATCAAGAGAACTAAATGTTCTACACATGTAAGTCACTACCACAGGACACCCTACGTCTTCCATTTTAGCCTTTCCCCCTGTGTTACCAATGCCTGTATTGGTTTAAGGTTACAGGATACCATGGGACTTACGAAAAGAGAAATGAAGATGTGACTGACCGCTTTCCATCCAGAGATGAATGTATTTTAAAATGCATTACTAAAATCCAGCCTTTCAAGAGGGAAAACACCACCAAAATATCAAGAAAATAACTGACTTGTTCGGGATCACTCATTAGCAAAAGACAGAGGGCTCAGACTTGTCTAAGTCTCCTAACTCTTATTACAATATTGTTACCCTATACCCAAAAGGCAGGTGAACTTTCTATGGGATATAGCTTACTTTCTGTATATGAACAATTCTATGTAGAGAACAACTGGAACTAAGACACAGGTCAGAGGAATTATGCCTAAACATGTCAGCTTCACCATCAAACCTCTAACTCTTGAATCCAACTGACATTTCTTGAGCACCTATTATGTGCCAGGTTCTGGGACTAAAAACATTGATTGTAGCCAAAAATAAATGTTAAGTTTCCAAAAGCAGATTGTCATGTTGACACATTATGTATAGTAGATTAATAACTTGGGGATGTTTTATACTTCACATTTGCATGACTTTTGTCAAAACATTTGAATCTATGATCTTTTCATGCAGCTTTGAACAAAAAAAGAAAATTTTATTAGCATCAATTTATCGTTCCAGGATCATAGTGCCCTCTTTCTTACTTTCTTTACAGGTCATCCTATCATCCTAACAATATTAGCCTGTCTTCTAGATCAGAGAATTTATAGCTAATGCATAACAACTAAATTGGTCACTCTAGAAAATAATAATGCAATTGCAAGCATACCAAATGGTTAATTGCTAACATGGGAAGGGCTTTTGAATGAAAATCATTCAAATTTTTAAGATCTTTTTCCATAACTACCTCGTTGTTCTATTTCACAGCCTGAAATTAAATATACTGACCACTTAGCAGTCTAGACATTGCCAGCACATGAAAGTTCTCAATGTAAGAATCACTCTGTAGTTAGAAGAGGTCTGCAAGTCCTGTTTGCAGCAGATAGTGGAAAGTGACTCTAAGCAACTGAAATGAGAAGGAGCAATTCTTTTCTGTTGTCAGCCACCTTGGTTGCTGTAAAGAGGGAGTGAAGAGTGAGACACTTCTTCTCTTTCAATTCTCACTTCTCTCCAGAAATGGAAGAAATAGGCACAGATTTGAACTCAAAGAGATTTATAGGTATTGAGCCAGCCAAAATTGACAAGTCAAAGACACTCAGAGTTGATATCCAACTGTGTGTGAGTGTGTGTGTGCGTATGTGTGCGTGCGCGCGTGTGACTTATGGCTAACAGGTGCTAATGTCATCTAATGTTCGTGAGACCATGGTATGAGCATTTTAAACAATACTTGGCTTAAAATGATCAAGTGCTCAGTGGGATAGCACATTTTACATTTATGGAGTGTTATTTTTAATGCTTTTTCTGAAGAACTGCGCATATACTCAGCTTTCTGGAGCCACCTAAAAGAAATGTACTTTCCAACTGACTTTGTTTTACCTGGGAAGTTTTTGACTGGAAATCAAAATTGACTGTCCAAAATACAGTCAGCATTTGAGAAATGTGAAACTTGGAGTAGAGCAGCGAAGAGACATGAATATCCTGACCATGAAGCATAGACACTAACCTCTTCTCATGTTTGCTCACAGCTGCTTCACAGAGCTGAGTTTCTGGCAATATTTTTTATTTAGTTCAGCATCAAAAATTATGTCAAGAACAAAAGAAAGATGCGTCTGAAGAATATGTTGTAACTGCCACATGATAAGATGTAAGCAGTATTCCGTGTAGCTTGTATTTTTAAATATTTTTTGCATTAACTCAAGATTGCAGTATGCAAAGATTTAAACGAAACTTTCCAGGCCGAAATTGGGGCATTTTGACTGCGACAAGGCAGGAAACCCACAAAGAACTAAGTGATCTTCATGCTCAAAATATTTTTATCAGAAAAACTTTTGAAAAAGCCAGAAAATAGGTTAAATCAAAGCTCTGAAATGTGAATAAACTAAAGTAGATGATAACCAAATGGGGTAAAAAATGAGGAATAGAAATAATTTTAAATTGCCATCCTAATAAAGATTAAAAAGAGAATTCTCAACTGTATATTCTGCTGGGAATAATAACATTAGCTCTTCCATTAATCAATTAATTAATTGAGTAAATACTTTGTTGAGTACCTACTATGTGGCGGAGAGATATCTTGGAACGGAGCAGTGAACAGATGAAGATTGTTGTCATAGGGTTTATTGTGAGAGAAATGTATTAGGGTTCTCCAGAGACACACGACCAATACGGTTCACATGTGTATGAAGAGAGAGAGAGAGTGAAAGAGAGATTTTAAGGAACTGGCTTACACAATCCTGGAGGCTTTGTAAATCCAAAATCTGGTGGGCTGGGCCAGTAGGCTGGGTACAGGGAAAAGTGGTCTGGAAGCAGAATTCCTTCCTCAGTTGCCCCTTTAAAGCCTTTTACTAATTGGATGAGGCCCAGCAACATTACAGAGGGTAATCTGCTTTACTCAAATCTACCTATTTAAATGCTAATTTCATTTAAAAAATACCTTCAAAAAACATCCAAAATAATGTTTGATCAAACATCTGGGCACCAGTCATGTTGATGTATAAAATTAAGTATGACCTAGGGGAAGAAATATGCAGTATTTCAGAGAGGGGCAGCGCTATTTAAAAGAATAAAGCAAGCGTGATGTCATGGAGAGTTCGAGGGGTGGGGCAGTGCTGTTTCAGAAAGAGTGGTCTGGGAAGACCACTGAACAGGAGGACATTTGGGCAGTGACGTGATGGCATTGTGGATGGATATCCAGGAAGGGCTTTCTAGGCAGGTCACAGTCAGAGGAACTTGGCTTGGCCAAAGTGGGAAACTATCTGAGGTCCTCAGCAGAAACATCATTAGCAGCTTGCTATTAAGATAACGAAACACTAATGTCTCTAGAACCACACAGGTAATTAACATTTTAACTCTGGACACCATAATGGAATCATATGGCTAACCGTAACCATAGATACTACAATCTCACCGAATCTTGAAATATCAAAGCAGAAAGGTACCATAAACATTTGTGCGACTTCCAGCCATGTTTTGTTTTTTTTTTTAACAGATCTCCTTGAATTCTTCATTATCTACAGGATTTTAATATTTCCTGCAAATCAGAAAATGTGCTTCTATCTCTCCTGAATGACTCATTCATGAAAATGCCAAGAGCACCAATCCTTACAGAGTGTTTTACCTACTTTCTCATGACATTGTCTGGCCTTTTACAAAGTTCATTGACATGCATCATTTCATAGTAGTTACAATAAACTACTATGCATGAGAATTATAACTGTCTTATTTTATAGTTCAGAAAGCTGAGCAGAGTAGGTAAGGAGTAGTTAAGGGAGGATTTGGCACTTCTGGCCCAGATATGGGTTCTGTTTCAGATTCACAAATTAGTTTCCTAATCACTTTTTCTACATGTAGGCATGTAAACAACTCTATTTGCTTTTAGATGATGGTTTGGCAAGAAGCCTAAGTGTTAGTTATACAATGAACCTTCAAAGTATGTGCATGTTGGATGTGGGTACTAGGCGTGGGGGTCCAGCAGAAGTCAGTCCCAAGCCCTCTAGCCTGGGTAAACTGTAGCAGGACCACCGAGGCTAGGGTCTGGCCGGCAAGAGGGCAGAACTTCCCAGCCCTG